AGAGAGATGGGGCGTAACCCATTGCGGGCTATGGCGCCGACCAAGTCATTTGGGTTCACTTTTAAGGCCTTATTTAACTATAATGTCTTCACATACTTAATATTCAAGTGAGCATTTTGTGAGCGTTTTTATTGACTTATATATACATGTAGTTTTCGCACTTTTTTTGCAATACCTATACTATGGTTGTTTTTTTCAACTTTTTTTGCGCATACTATACTATGTCATTTTTTTCAGCTTTGTAAAAGTGCCTTACTATACTGTGACCTCTTTATATCGAAATATTCTATGACATTTTTTGATGTTTTTATGACTTATAATACTATGTTGTTTTTTCATTTTTTTGCGATACTATACTATGTCATTTTTTTTACTTTTAACGCCTTACTATACTGTGATGTCTTCATATCTTAATATTCTATGACGTTTTTTGATGTTTTTATGACTTATAATACTATGTTGTTTTTTCACTTTTTTTGCCATACTATACTATGTCGTTTTTTCACTTTTTTTGCCATACTATACTATGTCGTTTTTTTCACTTTTAACACCTTACTATACTGTGACGTCTTCATATCTTAATATTCTATGACGTTTTTTGATGTTTTTATGACTTATAATACTATCTTGTTTTTTCACTTTTTTTGCCATACTATACTATGTTGTTTTTTCACTTTTAAGGCCTCTCTATACTACATTCTCTTCATAACTCAATATTCTGACATTTTTTGATGTTTTTATGACTTATAATACTATGTCGTTTTTTCACTTTTTTTGCCATACTATACTATGTCGTTTTTTTCACTTTTAACACCTTACTATACTGTGACGTCTTCATATCTTACTATTCTATGACGTTTTTTGATGTTTTTATGACTTATAATACTATGTTGTTTTTTCACTTTTTTTGCCATACTATACTATGTTGTTTTTTCACTTTTAAGGCCTCTCTATACTACATTCTCTTCATATCTCAATATTCTGACATTTTTTGATGTTTTTATGACTTATAATACTATGTCGTTTTTTCACTTTTTTTGCCATACTATACTATGTCGTTTTTCTTCACTTTTAAGGCCTATCTATACTATAATGTCTTCATATCTTAATATTCTATGACGTTTTTTGATGTTTTTATGAATTATAATACTATGTTGTTTTTTCACTTTTTTTGCCCTACTATACTATGTTGTTTTTTTCACTTTCAAAACCTTACTATACTGTGACGTCTTCATATCTTAATATTCAATGACGTTTTTTGATGTTTTTATGAATTATAATACTATGTTGTTTTTTCACTTTTTTTTGCCATACTATACTATGTCGTTTTTTCTCTTTTTAAGGCCTCTCTATACTACATTCTCTTCATATCTCAATATTCTATGACATTTTTTGACGTTTTTATGACTTATAATACTATGTTGTTTTTTCACTTTTTTTTGCCATACTATACTATGTTGTTTTTTCATATTTTTGCCATAATATACTATGTCGTTCTTTTTCACTTTTAACGCCTTACTATACTGTGTCATTTTTTTCACTTTTAAAGCCTTACTATACTGTGACCTCTTTATATCGAAATATTCTATGACATTTTTGATGTTTTTATGACTTATAATACTATGTTGTTTTTTCATTGTTTTTTGCCATACTATACTATGTTGTTTTTTCATATTTTTGCCATACTATACTGTGTCGTTTTTTTCACTTTTAAGGCCTATCTATACTATAATGTCTTCATATCTTAATATTCTATGACGTTTGTTGATGTTTTTATGATTTAAAATAGTATGTTGTTTTTTCACTTTTAAGGCCTAACTATACTGCGACGTCTTCATATCTTAATATTCTATGACGTTTTTTGATGTTTTCATGACGTATAACACTATGTTGTTTTTTCACTTTTTTTGCCATACTATACTATGTCGTTTTTTTCACTTTTAACGTCTTACTATACTATGACGTCTTCATATCTTACTATTCAATGACGTTTTTTTATGTTTTTTTGCCATAGTATGTCGTTTTTTTCACTTTTAAGGCCTAACTATACTGTGATGTCTTCATATCTTAATATTCTATGATGTTTTTTGATGTTTTTATGACTTATAATACTATGTTGTTTTTTCACTTTTTTGCCATACTATACTATGTTGTTTTTTCATATTTTTTGCCATACTATACTATGTCGTTTTTTTCACTTTCAAGGCCTATCTATACTATAATGTCTTCATATCTTAATATTCTGTGACATTTTTTGATGTTTTTATGACGTATAACACTATGTTGTTTTTTCACTTTTTTTGCCATACTATACTATGTCATTTTTTCACTTTTAAAGCCTTACTATACTGTGACCTCTTTATATCGAAATATTCTATGACATTTTTTGATGTTTTTATGACTTATAATACTATGTTGTTTTTTCACTTTTTTTTGCCATACTATACTATGTTGTTTTTTCATATTTTTGCCATAATATACTATGTCGTTCTTTTTCACTTTTAACGCCTTACTATACTGTGATGTCTTCATATCTTAATATTCTATGTCGTTTTTTGATGTTTTTATGACTTATAATACTATGTTGTTTTTTCACTTTTTTTGCCATACTATACTATGT